TGTAGTCCACAAAAGCTTATGCTCTAATAAATTTGTTAGTCTCTAAGGTGCCACAAGTACTCCTGTTCTCTTTTTTGCGGATACAGACTAACACAGCTGCTACTCTGAAACCTGTCAGGTGTGATTGACGCCTGCCTGTGTGGGGCTTGGGCGTAGGCCCATGCCCATGGAGAGCCTGAAAAAGACAATGGCCTCTCCAATTGCCAAGACATTTGGAACCTAGCAACTAACGACCTTGGATGGCCCACCCTCTGCAGGAAGCCAGCTGCTTGTGACCAGTTGGAGAACAAAGGGCTAAGGAGGATGGCCAGGTGACCCTGTTTCCCAGGAACAAGAACAAAGGACTAAGACAGGGTCCCTTAGGGTTGTTCAGTGTGGGCAGTTGGAGGGGAGGAGAAGCTTCTGGACTGGGACTACAGCGGGGTCAGAGAGGATTCTTGGCTCAGGACTGACCCAGATGCTCTTTGCTGTCACTTTCTGTTTTCTCTGTTAACTAAGGACTTCCTATGCTGGGTTCCAGACATCTAATAAACCCTCTTGCTTTTACAACACTGACTGAGCGTCACTGACTCCAGTTAAAACAAGTTGGGGGTGCATTGCTCCCTTTGGGTGTGTAAGTCTCCCTCAGGTGCCCAACCCAGGTGGACTCACTGAAGGGTACTCATGGTGTGAAGCAGGGGTACTGAAGGCTCCGAAGTTCAGACCCAGGAGGCACTGGGCTTACCCCAGTGAGAGAGTGTGACTATAAGAGGGTTGACACACTAAATGGGTCCTCCCAGGGACAGTTCCAGAGCAATTAAAGAGCACTAGGGACCTGTGGATCCATAACAGTAATTAACTAGACAACTGAAAATCATTAACACAAAACATGATGAGGTTTTAAAAATAAAAAAGTATATAACCAACGGTTACTTAGATTATAAGCTCTTTAGAGAAGGGCCTGTCTTTTTGTTCTGTGTTTGTACAGCGCCTAGCACAATGGAATCCTGGTCCATGATTGGGTTACCTTGGCTCTATGGTAATACAAATTAATAATAATAATAATTAAGAATAACGTGGTCAATTGTTGCATCCAATTTGTCTGTCCTTTCTTTGAGCGTTGCTTAGTTAGATTGGAGGCTCTTTCTGCCAAATAGCTTTTCTTCCTCCCTGCTTATAACGTGCCTTGCACAATAATAATAATAATAATAAGGATAATTAATAAAAAAGCCCTTCCCAATAAAGACTATGTCAATGTGCCCTGATAATTACGTATCATTCCTCCCTACTCCGTTCCATTCTGTTTTGGACCATAACAACGCTGTCAGGGGAACCACCTCTATTGTGTATTTTCCAAATTTCCTGAGATATGTATCAAGTTCTGGGGGAGAATTTGGACGACAAGGAGACAGTGTGGCCAGAGTTGGAGATAATGTTCTAATCTGGGCTGGATCTCAGTGAAAATCAACCTGCGAGCCTTCAGGGTAAATAGTAATAGTTTAAATGGTAAGAACACCAGCTTCACCTGGCATGAATGGGGGCTGTTTATATCTCACTTGTGCTTCAGATTGCTAAACTATGACTGGCTTGCATGGCAGTGCAGGGGACTAAGAGAGTTTAACATGGCCTCCATCAGTCCCTGCCGCGCCCCCTCCTCCCCCCTCCCCCAGCTATGCATGATCTGTCTAGATCTTGTCTTGAGTCCAGGCAGAGAGGGGAGAGTAGAGGCTGCAGGTTCAATACTTCAAGTGGGTAAGGAGTGGACATAGCCATGGCTCCACCTCTCCAACCTCTGTGCTGAACCAGGCAATGAGCCAATGCCGCATACTCTCCTCTCTCCCTCCTACAAACCTGGAGCTCTGGAGGAATTGTGACTGAATTGCATTTCCTTTCCAGAGCGGCTCCTGAGACAATGCAGGCCAGAGTTTTTCAGCTTTCCTAGGACACATTGGTTTTTATACATTTGCCTAAAGCTTAAAAGAAAGGAAGTACCAGGTATAGAACTTCTCCAATTGAGTTAGCACTTTGATTTCTAGGACAGGGGCTAAATGATGAACAGAACAGTAGAACTGCTTCCTCCACCGTGGTAGGACAACTTTTTCTGAGGCTTCTTGGGTGGAACAATGGAATCCGGTCTATTTTTATATAAATACAGCTTTATTGCCTACTATCACATGTATCAAATTTGAAGAAAATAGGCTTAAAATGACTTTCCAAAACCCCATAATAAAAAAAGATCTCCGCATAAAGGGTCAGAATCTGAACTTCTCCAGCATTTAGGGAGGAGAGTTGCTCTGGATCTTGGAGTCTAGTTCTGGTTCAGCTCTAAAGCCTGTTCCTATGAGGTGTTGATCATTCCTGGAAGGGGATGAGTGCCTTTGACTCCCTTTTTAAGGCCCAAGATTCGTCACAGGATCAGGCCTCTAGTTATGACATCACAGGAGCAGGCAAAGGGGGAGAAGAGGAAGGAATAGAGAAGATTGTATTTATTTATTTTTCAAATACAAGAGGGCAAATCCATTGGGCGAGGTATGCTATATTTGACCTTCAAAAAGATGATTGAAAATAGCAGGATACAAAATAACATATATATATATATAAGTGCTGGACCCAATGCCCTTTTAGATGTCACATTTGATTCAGATAAGCAGTTCTGATCAATAATTGTTTTAATGTCTGTTCTTACAGAGACGATCCCAGCAATTTGTAATACCTGAGAAGACAGCACACAGACCAGGTTAGTATCATTTTTATTTTAAAATAAAACTGCTTGTAACTTAGGTAGTTTGGAAATTGTTTTCTGACCTCACACATAATACACTATAGATGTCGAGAAACAGGTTTTGCTTCAATATAAGGCAGGAAGACAGTTGTCTAGAGCGGGAAAAAAAAACAAAACTACTTAGTAAAGTAGCATCCATAGTCAATTGTTAAAGTATTTTCTAAAGTTCTTTATGGTCTTTTATTTTCCTGGTAAGTGTTGCCTCCTAGCTTCAGACAAAATGTGCAGTGAAAATTGTCCAGAAGCATTAACTCTTTTTTCTCCAAACATGTAAAGGCTTAAAAAAAATGTGGATGCTTTTCACGTCTTATCAGTGTGTGACCTCACTGGTGGGATAGCAAATTCTTCGAACTATTCTAGCAGATTCTTCTCCTACACCCCTCCCACTTGCTATAGTCTATAGAAACTATAGAGGAAGACGAAACTCATTCTAAAGAGAGTTTGGGAAGGTGGAATTAATTATTGAAAAAATGAAGGGGCAAAAATTAACTAATAGAAGAAATAGTCTGAAAATTCAACATGTAACTTTGAGGGGGAAGCACATGTACCCTGAGAGGAAGATAGGGAAATGACTTGTGGTAGGGTTGAGTCACATTTTGGGAACAAAATTCTCAGTGCTGTCTGTAATGCTCTAGGAATATCCCCTCCCAGCCCCCCCCAGGTTCTTGACCAGGACTTCACAACAATTAAAGTAGAGCCTGACCCCAGAAACTCACCCAAGGTTTTAAATGTAACACAGTGTATACTTTGGGAGTTTAGTCAGTATTGTAAAAATAAACATTTAGAGCATTCTTGTTCAGTAATACTCATGGTTATATACCTTACTACAGAGTTTCGTTACTTTGATTCCTGGAGCCCTCGGTATCCTGAGACACAAAACAGTGCTGGTACTGAGAAACAGATACTTGTAAAAAGGACACTTCATGTATCAGGTCATTTTAACCAAATGCCAAGTGGATTTTTATGTAGAGTGTAGGAAACTAAATGTATCACGTCTAGAAAACTTTTGATGATTTGATGCTGTGTTTTTCTGTTAGCGTCACAGACTCTTATGCCTGCTGGGGAAAACAGTGATTTGCATTTGAGTGGGTCATTGCATTCCAGAACCTGCACCGCTACTGCTGACTTTCATCTGTCACCAGAGATACCTCAAACTGTGCTTCCTGTAGTGAGTAAATTCTGATCCACTAATTTTAGAACCAATCTCTTCATGCCCTAAAATGTTTGAATACTGTCCTTTGTAATCTCCCCATCCCTTACGGCCTGTCAGCCTTCTAATGTATGTTTGTGAGTACTAGGCAGACCTGCTGTGACTTCCTGAAGCCTTCTCTGGCTTACCTCACTGTCTTCATACTAGTCTTGTTAATAAATTTAATTATAACAACTAAGGGCTTGTCTACACTACCGCTTAAGTCAATGTAACTTACGTCATTCAGGGAGTGAAAAAACCACCCCCCTGAGTGACGTAAATTATATCGACTTAGCCTGGTGTAGACACTGCTTTATGTCATCAGGAGACACTCTCCCACTGACATAGTTTCTGCTTCTTGTTGAGGTGGAGTAATTACGTTGACAGGAGAGCACTCTCCCGTTGACATAGCGCATCTGGTGAAGACAAGCATCGAGGCAGCTGCGCCAGTGTAGCGTGGTAGTGAAGACAAGCCCTAACTCATTAACAGTTTGAGCTAACCCCCACTGAAAATCAAAAGAAAGACTCCCATTAACTATTAGGCCCTAATTATTGGGCTCCCATCAATCGTTAGGCCAAAATTAGGCCCTAGAATGAGAAATAGCATCAGATGATCCAAGATCTCTGAACAAAAGTAGGTCAGGGGATTTTTGTTTGTTTGGTAGGAGAGCTCTGGATACTTTCACTTAGATTCTTTATTTTGGGATTGAAAGTGGGGCAGTGAGAGGGATTTCTAGGCGCTATCTAGAGTCAAGCATAGACTATGGTAAGAGACATTTCCACTTTGGATTGACAAAAGGATGCTTCCAGGGTACTCACAAATGTTCAAAGTAAAAATAATGTATTATCCTTCTTGAATTCTGTAACTGTGGTTTCTGCAAAATTGTTTTTATAAATATTCCTGCAACATGTTCAACATAGTGACTACTGTTGATCGAAAAACAAACCATTCCTATCAGAAATATTTTCTAACCTGAATTCCTGATAACAGCATTCTTGGTTGCAGTTACTGCATCCTGTTGTAGACACTTCACAGGTCAATGGACAGCCAAATAATCACGGGACCTACCAGGCTGAAGTGAATGAGAAGGCGAGGCCAGTTCCTGCAAGCTTTCTACAGAAGTCAGATGACGTCTGCTGTGCTCACACAACTCAAAACAAGTGCACTACTTCTCCTTTAAAATTAACATGCCCAGAGAGGATCATAGACTTGCATCGAGTGCTTAGACAAAACCATCGCAGTAATTACCAGGTCAATAAATCACTTTCATAGTTATTAATTTAATGAGATCAATTATTCTTAGCCGTCAGTTCATGGATCACATAAATATTTAAATACCTTCTTTATTGGTAGTTAGGACAATCTGAGGAAGATAAACACACATTATATTTCATTATGAATCTTCTTACCTATTGTTTAAGAATTGATAGTTGCTCCTAGAGGATGTGAAAAAAAAATCCGAGGTTTGTTTTCACCCTTGCAGCTCTCAGTAAGATTAGCTTTGGAAATTCCAGGATGGTAACAAACAAACAAACAAACAAAAAAACAACGGCAAAACATAACCAATATGTAGCTACTGATCTGCCTTTTTCTTTCTTCCCTTTTTTTTAATGATCCAATTATTCCTGTGCCCTGAAGCTCTTTGTAGTAATTTCCATTAACTGCAGGAATTCTGTTAAGGACAGAGCTGATCAATTGCAATTGCATTTGTCACAGTCTGCTGCTATACTAAACAAGCAGGAGATTTTATCCACTTCAAGGCAATACAACCACCTTTTAACTGTACAAGGAAGATGAGAGACTGCTAGAATAAAAAACATCCATGCCAGATCTTGCAACATTACATTGTTGAATTTTCATGATGACCTGAGAATAAATAACTGAAATAAACCCACCAAAAACACATTCTCTGTTTTATTACAGTAGCCACATAAAGAGTCAAGCATGTTCCAAATGACATGTGTTTTAAGGCAAGAAACTGCTCCTTATACTAATAACACAGTAACAGACGTATTATTCTGACAATGTATTAACAAACAGAACCATTTAGACGGCTGTATATTTGTGCCACTCAGTCCCTGCTTCCTGGCAATCTATACTACAATAAATCATGTATATAAAGGACCAATGATGTTACCATTATCATCAAAGAACTATAGAACTTAGAGATGGCAAAAAGCAAAGAACTTTTTGATCATTTAGTCCATTTCCCTGCTAGTGCAGGAGCTTGAGAGTTAAATTACAATGAAAGCATAACAGACCTACTGTACAGCTCATAAAATGGAAAAGTACTGCTGACAGCAGTCGTAATGCACAGAATCACGTGGTCTGTTTTACTATATCTTGATAGATGCCTTTTTGTGGTTGCGAACATTCAAAAGTTACATTCTCTTCTCCTCTGTCCTCCTCAGATACCTTCATTTGCCTCTTCCAATTCAAAACTGAAAGCAGATTGCAAATTGTCCTCTGTCTGTCATCCAGCCCAAGATGTGACTTCCCAGCCTGTAGTGTCAAAAATGAACAATTCACTGAAACTTTCAGACAGGAGCTCTTTCCATCTCATAAATGGGAGGTACCAGTTGTCTAAATTTGATGACGTATTCCAGAGTCACACAGGAAATCAGCATGCAGGTGCTGTTCTCCAGGGAAGGAGAAAGAAAAATGTCATTATGAATAACACATGGATCTCGGGAGAAAAACCAGATGGCTCAACCTCAGCTACCACAGCAAAAAGCTATTTGTCAGATGTGTTGTCAGCAAGTAATAAAGGTCAAAATCCTACTGGGGAGAAATCAGCTGCACTGGAAAGAGTAAAAGCCTCAGAAATAAAACAAGGTAAAAAGCCTTAACCATGTGATTTTCCTGTTGTTATAAAAATATTAATCTTGTGTGTCTGCTCTCTGTGAGACAGACTAAGGGAACGTGCCAACTTTAAAATAATCTATTTTAAGCATACAGATTCCCTGACCTATGTAAATAATAACTAGAGGTGGCTAGAAAACGTACTGGAAACAAAATTTTTACAACAAATTGAATAAAATTTTACCAAAAAAAGAAGAACAGGAGTACTTGTGGCACCTTAGAGACTAACAAATTTATTAGAGCATAAGCTTTCGT